TATTCTATTCTATTCTATTCTATGTTTACCTGGTGGTAACTTTACATTTTCATACACATCTAACTTTTGCAATGATTTCAATTTCCATTTCCTTTTCCATTGCATCTTTCCAAGCTTTCTGTTCCTCAGTTGGATATAGAGTTAATTCTTGGTAATTTGCAGGAACCTTATTTGCCTGGCATGCTATAGACACCTGATACCTGTCAGGTGGTCTCGTTACACGAGTTGAACATCTAGGTATTTCAGGATGCACCAGTGGACTCTCCTGTATAACCTGCTCTTGTTCTTCTGGTTCGTCATGTACTTCTTCCTTAATTTCTTTAATTACTGGTTTTCCTACCTCATCATTAGGGACTACTTGGGTGTCGATAATTACATCATCAGTTGTTTCTAATTTATTCCACCCCACGTGTTCTATAAATCTTAGCACTAGCGCTACAGTGAAGCTTAGTTGTGCCTTTCTCCCAAAACCTAAACGATCTATGGTTAGCCTCATATCCTACAAAAAATAACTGTTGAGCTCTATGTCACCCTTTCAGTCTCACTTGTGATGGTATATGCACTCACGCTGGGGCTCCGAATGTATGTACGTAACTCAGATCTGGTTTTCTGCCATGCCACCTAGTGAATGGCAATTCACCGATTGTTGTATTCACCACATTATTTAAAACATGGTTACTACGCATCATAGCTTCACTTCACAGTGTTTCCGGCAAACCTGAATCAGCTATCATAGTTTGAACCATGGCCTGTAATGTTTGCCCCCTTCGTTCTACAAACGAATTATGTTGTGGCCTATAAGGAGCAGAACGTTTGTCCCATAACAACAATAATAACCTTGGCTTTCATCTTTCTCTCCGCAAACCTCATCCAATTAAAGAAATGCAGGAAACGTTTAAATAACCAGCACCTAAATAAATAAATAAATGAATGAATGAATAAGGTTGTGATTGTCCAGTCTTATTGAGTCAATTTATTTTCAATCAACTCTAAACTCCATTTATTTCTGTACCACTCAGCAAGAGTGAAAACATTATTATTTTCTATTTAAAAGCAACCCCTACAGGTGCTCCAATCAATATACTGCTGGTATATCAAAACTGCCACCTTTAAGGTTACTACAAGTCACTAATGGAGAACTCATCAGGGTTGAGGAGGAGCTGAGATGGAAGAACCAGAGTTTCTAATCTTTTATTTATTCACA